GGGCTGGGGTTCAGCACACCGAAGGACAAAGATACGGAGGGGTGGGAGGCACTGCTGGAGGGACATCGATTGAGACTGAGGAGTGTTGCCTTGCTCAGATGGACCTCGGCTATCCGCTTTATCACACATGCGTGTTTCTCATAGATCTGCAGTAATAAGCATAAATAAGTGGAACATATACATATATACTACCGACCAACATTTAAGTAGTCAGGAGTTATAATTTAAACTGGAAGCACTACGAGTGGGCTTAGGTACATTCTTTCTAAATGGGTTAAACGGATTATTTTCTGGTCTGTTCCGTGAAGCTGCCTTTGGGAAGGTTTCTGCTACCTCGATCTGTTTTACTCTGGGAGCCGCATGTGTACACAGTGAGGTATTTGCTTAGTTATTCGATCGAGGCTGCCTCCCAATTATATCTTAATGGTGCTGGAAGATTTCCATGAGAATGATGGCACCCTCACATCGTACATTTTTTTCATATAGTGCGCACCAAGCGGGATTAAACAGTGTGCAGGATGTGGAACCCCATAAGGCAGGTTCGCGGACACTGACAGTCATGACAGGGATCCGAATAGTGTTTTGGGCAGAGAGCAGAAAGTCTGATCGGTTTTGTCGTTGGAGTATTGCATTGCTACTGAAATCACATTAAGTAGGCACTTTTTTTAGCCTGAGTGGATATTTTCGGTTGGTATCTGAGACCCTAATGATGCTCAATGGAAGAGTTTTTGTCCCGAGCTGACGTTTCGGAGAACTTGGCCGGCTCCCCATTGGCGAAACGTCGACTGTCCATATCGATCAGTGATTTGATTGTCTGACTGAACTTACCGGCTTTGGGCTGATCGACGTTTTCTCTCGTTCGCTGCCTTCGTCCTCATATGGATAGTTGTGTAGTTTGACGGCCGCTGGCGTTGCACTTCGTCACCAAGGCCGACACGTTCAATCAGACATTTAGATCACTGATCGATAGTAAAAGTCGAGGCCTCGACAATGGGGAGCCGGTCAAGGTCTCCAAAACGTCAGCACGAAACAACAATTCTCCGGTGCGCAAGATCAAGTTTTCAACAATTACCATCCCGGAACTCTCACCTTTGTGAACCTGGTGGTTGTTGCCTTTATATTGCAGCAGTATAATTTCGAATACGCGGGTTCCGATTTATGATTTTTTAGCAGAAGCTAAAGTATTGATGGACTACGCGCTAGTCTCCGACTTCTTATACGCAGTATTAATGAGTGTTTTTTGGGGATTATCAGGGAGAATTGATTGTTTGAGTTCAATAACCGGTAGGGGATTAGGGTTAGAGCTAGCGTTAGGGTTACGTTTAGCGTGAGATTGGGAGTTAATTTAAGGGTTTACTTTGCACTAAACATTTAGTAGGCATTCAATAATAGCATAATTATATAATTAAATTACTACATAATTACTTTACTAAGTGGTAAGTTAGCTTGCTGTAGCTAGTGATTCGCTAAACATTTTGCGATAAAGTGGCAACGACACACCACTTTTCGAGTTAATGGCTATTTCGTAAGCTGCATAGCGTACTTAAACACCGTGTATAATATTAACGTCCTACTTCTAGTTACCATTTCCCCCACCCGTTAAACCGCGTATTACCACCAAGCGCTAAAAGGATGAAGGAGAACTAGAGGGGACGGCTACGGAGAGTGAGAC